TTGAAATTACTTAATTTACCTCAAACAAAAAATAATAATTATTTACTTTATTAAAAAAATAAATAGTGACTCCTTGATAACATAACTATTAAAGAAAATTGTCTCAATTGATCATTACTGTTCAATCGACTAAAAGAGACTCTTATTCTTTGCTCTCTTCTTCAACTGGTTTTTCTTCTTCTTTCTTTTCTTCTTCAGTTGGTTTTTCTGTTTCTACTTTCTTTTCTTCTTCAACTGGTTTTTCTGTTTCTACTTTCTTTTCTTCTTCAACTGGTTTCTCTTCTTCTTTCTTCTCTGTACTAGTAGTAGACTCTGTTGTGATGGGAGTTTCAGTATTAATTGGGGTATTAACAAAATTATCTTCAGGTGTTTCATTTAAGGTAGTGTCAAGTTCAACAGAAAGAACATAAGCAGAATGAACGTTAGCATTAGCCTTAACAAATTGTTCTAAATCCTCTTCATAATTCATTTTATCAACTTCTGTTTTAAGTGTTTTGTAAGCTTCATCTTCAATTGGTACTATTTCAGTTAATTGGGTAGCAACAATACCAAAAACGTTTTTAGCACTATCAAATTGATTTTTAATTAATTCAATAGCATTTTCATTAATCTTTTTCATTGGTTCACCATACATTTCTTCTCCAAAAGCATTAGCTTTTTCAACTGCTTGTTTATAGTTATTTTCAGCTGTTTGTACACGAGTAACAGCTTGTTGTTTTCTAGCTACTAATTTATCTACCATAGTTACATTTTGTGTCATTGCTGTATTTAATTGAGAAGTAATTTGTTTCAATTCATTGACAGCTTTTTTATATTGTTCAGCACTCTTTTCAGCACTCTTAATTAATAATTGGTGGTTCTTATTTTTTAAAAGAAATTCATTAACAATTCTTTTTCTATTCAATTCAAGTATGCGTTGTAAATTTTCTAATGGTTTAGAAACTTGTTCAATAAAAACAACACCCATTTCATTATGTCTTTGGGCAACTTTTAATGTTTCAGTATTAAATGCAGTTAAAGCACTCTTCATAGTATTTTCAAGAGAGTCTAATGGAACTTCTTTTTTTAATAAAAGAGTTCCAACTCTCATAGGAGTTGAGCATTGTTGAATTAAATGTTTAGCGTATTCAATTTCAGTATTTCCTCTTTGTTGGAAAAGAGAGGCATAACCCTTGGTTAAGTGTTGTAAATAATCTAATTTCTTTGCAATACTTTCAAATTCATACTATTTTGTTAGTATTTTTTATATCAATCCATTTGCTTGCTTTCATTTTACTTTGATTTTTAAGATTAAAAAATACACAAACAGTTAATGTTGCAATTTGTTCAGCAGACATCTTTGAATCTCAAAAATCCTTTTTCTTTCTTTTTTTTTCTTTTCTTTTTTTTTGGATTTTTCTTTTTTCTTCTTTTTTGGATCTATAAATAAAAATTTAGATTACTAAATTCCTAAAATGAAAAATAAAAAAATTTTGAGATATATAACATTTATTAACAAAATTTTGTCATTTCTATCAGATCAGTCAGAATATCAATAATTTCATCAAACAAAGGACGGCTTTCAGGTAGTTCATCCCAACAACGTTCCATTAACCTAATATATTTTTTAGTTATTTCATTATTTTCAACTGTTTTTGGAATTTTAGGTCTAGACCCTTTTTGACTGACATTGAGCATTATCTGATATGGAGTAAGTTTAGAATATGGTCTTTTTCGAGTAAGAATTTCCCACATAACAATACCAAAAGAGTAGACATCACTTTTAATACCAAATGGTTTATTTTGTAAAATTTCTGGAGCGATCCATGCTAATGTACCACAAAGATTTGTTGGGTTAATTTCTTTACCAAGTAAAGGAGTTGATAATCCAAAGTCACTTACTTTTACACACCAATTATCATTAACAAGCAAGTTATTAGTTTTAAGGTCTCTATGAAGAATTGGTGGTTTACAGTGATGAAGATAAAACATTCCACTAGCAGTATCTTTAAGCATTCTTAATTTATTTTCTATTGTTAAATTAATACAATTATTATTTAATATTTCTCTAACAGTACCATTTTGCATTAGTTCCATTGCTATAAGCATAAAATTATTATCCATTCCACTTCCAAAAAATTGGAGAACACAAGGATGCCTTAGTGATTTCATAAGTTTAACTTCTTTAGTAACTTCTTCAATATTTTTCTTTTCTACCCTTTCAATAGGAATAAGTTTTACAGCTATTTCTTGACCCTTCCAACTGGCACTCCACACATCCCCAAAACTACCTCTTCCAATAATTTTATCACAAACAATCTCTTTTGTTGAGATTGTTTGATCAACGGACTCTTGTTGAGCTTGTTTCTTTATAAATAAAACACCAATAATAACTATTGATAGAAGAATAATAATGGTTATTATCAATATTATTACAACAATGATCCATTCAATATTACAATATTGAATTTCAGGTTTAATTAAAATACTTGTGTTGTATTTAATATAATCAACATTATTTAATGAAATACTAAGAAAATATTTTTTGTTTTTAATTTCATCCATATTATTAATTTGACATATAATTGTATTTTGATCAATATATTCTGCTTTTAAAATAATAGGTAATGGTTTACTATAGTTAGTTTCTTCTAATTTACAATAAATACTTTTAGTATCAATAAATCCATTTCCGTTAACCATAATAATTTGTTTTTCTTGATAGTTTTGATTTTCTGCTTTTATTATTGAACAGTTATAATATTCAAATTCGATATTTGATTTAACATTTCCATCATCTTCATATCCAACATGAAATTGATATGAATGAATTTTATTAATATTTGGACTCAAACAATTTCCGAATGTCGAATTTATTACATCAAATTTACTTTTTTCACTTCCAAACCAACAATAATATTGTTCTCCTTCTTCTTTAAAATTGTTCCCAAATACTTGAATCGTTGTATTTCCTTCTATAGGACCACATGATGGTGTTAATATAATAATATCAGGTAATTGTATTCCATAATTAAACTTAATCTCTATAGAAGAAATGCATATAACATTACTTTGACTCTCAATTGAAAATATATTTTTTCCTCTTCTGACAATACTATCTGTTGTTGACTCACTGTATCTTCTCATACAACATTCTTCAGATCTGTTTTTTAAATACTCTTCATTTATAACTCCAAATCTAACTGGTTTATTATTTACTTTAACAACAATAAAAGAAGGTGGACTAAATGCGTCTTTATTTAATGACCCTATAAGGTCTATTGTTGTTCCATAAAAGTCCATGGTTTCTATCAAATCGTCAATAATAAATTCCCCTTTGCTTAACAAATCACTTGGACTTGCTTCATTAGAACAGTCAAATGAAGTTTGGGGAATATATGGAATAGAACATTGTTCTTTTTGGCAAGTGTTTTGTTTTGTTTCCTATAATTGAGTGTAGGTATAAAAAGGGATGACAAAGAAAGACAAACAGAATACAGTTTAATTTTTTTAGTTTTATTAACAACAATACCAAAAGAAAAAATGATGAGTGAAAGACATACCAATAATTTCATTTTTGATTTTTAAGTCTTGTTTTTAGTTTTTTTTTTCTTGGTTTATTTTTATTTTTTTATAATTAAAAAGAATATTAAGTATTAATAGAATTTGTATCTATTGTTCCGAGATCAGAGTGATTAACCTTGCCACTTCTCTATTCTCTACCATCTCTGTTGATCATTTTCTATTATCGAAGATGCAATGCTCCATACCGTTTATCATATTTTTTATTACAATGTTTTTAACTTCTTTTATGTTGTCAATTTCAATTTTTAATTCTTTATTTAATTTAATGCCTTCTGCATTTATTAGCCCATTAATCGAAATTACTACTTGAATTATTTTGATATCTTTTATTTTTCTATTTTAATTATTGTATTCTTCATTTATTTATACATATTTCTTTTCTTCCAATAGGCTCCATTAATATTGTGATCTTCAATAATATTCATATCAAATAATAGACTAATTTTATTCTTTTTATCTAATACATATATATCTGTTATTTTATGATGTTGTAATTCACTTTTTGGAATTAATTTGTTCAATATCATAGTAATGTCATTGTATTAGAACACTGTTTCATATGTTGATTTCTTGTATTGTTTATTTCCTGTGTATTTTCTTATTAACCCCTCTTTTTATTAAAATATCAATAATTACTACAAATATAATACTAATAATATTTTTCAGTTTTATAATTTCTTTGAATCTTTAATTATGAATAAGTATTTATTTTATTCAAAGAATAATATTCTAAAAAGGTCAGTACTTAAAAAGTTGAACAATAGTTTTTTGACATTTTGATGTTTTTTTAAAAATAAGTCCAAAATCTGTTGGGGGTAAAAAGTTGTTAACTAATTTTTCAATTTCAATATAAATTTAATCAAACGAGGTTATTTAATTAAGAAACTCTTTTGTTAGAAACATAAAGAAAAAATTCAATTTTCATTAGTTTTGTGTAGGAATAAACCATTTAATAATTACGCTTTGTTTAAAGTTCCTCAAGACTAATAGAGGTGTATACTTTTTTCAAGAGTTTTATCGTAATTCATTCACATCTTTATTTTATTGATAAACGTACTTTTGGATTATAAAAATAATATGGGGTATTGAATGAACAAGATAAAGTATTTTAGATAAAATAAAATATTCATAAGAATAAATAAAATATTAGAACTTAAATTGATGTTTCCAATAAAAAGATTTATCAGAATATATTGTTTAACACACTGAGAGCTTTTATTTTATTTCTTAGTTATTGTCTATAATTTGATTTTAACAAAAGAAGTAATAAAACTCCTTTTGTATTTTGAGGTTTATCAAGGAAGAATTTGTTATGAAATATACTGAGTTCTTCTTTTTCAGGAAGAATTTTCAGTAATAAATGATTTTTTAAAAAAGTTTATTTCCTCATCACATAAAAAGAATTTAATAAACTTATTTCTTTGAAGAGAATATCAATGACAAAAACGTTTACAGGTATATGTGTTTCTATAACGTTATGTTTTTCTATACTTGTTGTGTTAATTGTTACTTGTATGGTTGATAATAAATCATCTGCTACTATTCAATTGAACACAAACCCTATAATAAAACCAAGAATTAAATCAAAATACGAAGATAAATTATTTAACCTCTATAACTTTAATTATTCTGGAGAATGTGCAGTTCCATTTAAATATAAACCCAATAATAAAAGAGATTTATTGATTTATGGAGTGTATTTTTCTGATAAAAGAAAGTGGAATAAACAACAACAAACAACATTACAAACACTTTCACTAAATCAAAACGGAATTCCAAATGCTACAAAAATTTTGTTGTTATGTGGAGAACCTCCAGAACCTAACTTTAGTTCATTAATGAATTCAAAAGGAGTAGAAGTTATTCCAGTAAAAGTTGATTCGTTATACAATGGAGCAGTTCTTAGATATGTTATAATACAAAAATATCTTGAAGAAAACAAAGAAAAATATGATCGAGTGTTTATTGCAGATCTTAGAGATGTGGTTTTCTTTGAAGACGGATTTGCTACCTTTTCAGACAAACAATTATATTTAAGTAAAGAATGTTCTAGAAATGATACTGGTAATATAAGTTGTGCTTCTCTAGCTTTGAACTTTCCAAAAAAATGGATGAGAGAAAGTGTTAGTGAAGAAGTTGCAGAATTGTATGCAGCGAATAAAACAAAAATTATAAATTCAGGAACAATTTTTGGTGGAATTGAACAAGTTCTTCATTTCCTTCAAATATTTACTTCTCAATTTAATTATCAAAGAGTTAATATATGGGGCTATGATCAGTCATTGTTAAATTATATGTATTATAGTGGTCAGTTTAATTCATTAAATATTACTATAGCTACTTGTGATCAAATGTTTTGTTTTGATTTAAGAAATGGTTGCTATTATAATAAAAAAGAAAAATCATTAACTGTGAGAGGAACTAACTGTTCACCAATTATTAGACATAAAATTGTATTACGAAATCCAAGCCTTTGTCTTTTCTAATTCTTTAATAGTATTATTAAAAGTATAATTGTTAATTATAGAGTTGGTTTAGATATTTTTATTCTTTAAATTTTAAACAATCTTATGTTCTTTTTACTCATAATTTTGTGTTTGGCTAATTAGTTGAGATAATAATTTTTTTTTTATTAAATTAGATAATTTAGTCAAAAAAGCAAGGACAAAGATTATCAATGAATATCATACTTTACCTATTTAATAATATTGATAAACCAGATAAAGTATTACTTAATTACTAAAAATTATTTAATAATAAATTAAAAGAAGGTTATAAGTGATATGTCCATTATTGTGTGTTGATAAATGCTTAATAATTATTATATTTCATTGAACATAATAACGAATTTGAGATTTTATTATTACTCATATAAACTACTATAAAACATTATATTTGTTTGGTAATATCAGAACTATTAAGAACAAGTTTAATAATTATTTAGTAATTATTCAGAATAGTAAAAAATTTATTATTCATAATGAGTTATAGATATCAAATAGAATAATTATTATAAACTCTAATTTATTTAATTTAAAATGAACTGTCTTCGATAAAGACTAAACAAACTAAATTGATTAATTGAAAAAATATATAGTGGTACTAATGAAATAGATATGATAGAAAAAATATACTATTCGATATAATAGAATTAATAAAATTTATATAAGATAATATAATAACATATAGACTGAAGAAATGATATCAATAAAATGAGAAATAAAAATAAACTAATTTAGTTAATAAAAGAAGAAGAGTAAAAATAAGATAATAGAAAAGAGACAAAAAATATTATTTTAAAATTACATATAAAAAGTTGATAATAATTTGTATTTTAAATTAAATATGATATTTATAACTTTAAAAAAGAATAATTGACTTTATTCTCATTGAAATATATTAAATATAATAACGAATGTTTGTGTTTATATTTTTGATTAATAATATTATTGTTATCATCAAAAAATGGTTATACTTAATTTTTTATAATAATGTCTAATATTTGATTAAAAGAAATTATTAATTAGAAATTAAACCAAATAAACACTACTACCAGACAATATTAATAATGAGAATTGTGTGTAGACAAGAAAAAGTAATTAAAGAACAAATATATAAAGAACTTGCATTTTTATTTTCAGTTAAAAGATTATCTATAAATAACAATCAATCTAATATCAAGAGAATATAATTTTATGTTTCTATAATTTTTAAAGAAAATAATTTTCTGTTATCATCTAGTCAATTATTCTAATTATTAAAATGTTCAATTTCACTCACTCTAGTAATTTTATCTCTTATTCTTAGATTTTATTGAGAACCCGACTTATTTTAATATTTATTTCATTTCATATATTAATTTATTAAATACTATAACTTCTAGTATTTAGTATATTTTCTTTGTTTCACTAATTAATACTAGATACATTACCATTATAGATTGAGTTGTTTATAGAAATTTTATTTTTGTTATTACTGCTATTTCAGTACAATTATAATGGATATATTCATGACACCTTCATTAGTAATTGTTCTGAAAAATATTATCTGTATTTCTATTACACTAGTATAACTATTTAATTTGAAGAATAGAAAGCGTTTATTGTTTTATAAAATCCTTCTTTTGAAAATGAAGAATGTGGATCTTTTTTTACTATCAGAAATACTGTTGATTATTCCCATCAATGAATTTAAAATAACTCTTTTGATAAACACTGTAATACTTAAAGACTGTTCATTTTCATTTAGACTAAGAGTTATGAATTAAATTAACTTTTAATCTTTTAAAAAAAAAGTCCTGGTCATTCTTTAATATCTTATTGGTTCTTTAATTATTCTCATTTCTTTAAAAATACTTCTTTCTCTTTATTCCTTTCTATTTCATATATTTTGTTAGAATGTATCATTACTCTCTTTTCCTATAAATAGATATTTATATATCTTAACATTTCATATTTTTATCTTTCTTTTTTGTTATCCTTTGATTTAGTTTCTTTAACAAAATCTTTCTCCTGGTCAGTACTCTTATCTCC